TTGGTTGCTGCTGCTTCTTCTTCCTTTTTTATTATTAGTATATTATTATTATCATAATCATCATTATTATTATTATTATTATTGTTATTATTATTATTAAACCGAGATCTCAGTTAATTAAAAAGCAAACAAACCTAGAGAATGTGGAAAATGTGTGGTAGAGGTATCTAAGCTAAGTATGAAAGTTAGTATGAAGCTAGAAGCAAAATAAATCGCAGTATCACTTAAGTGTCAGCAATGTATAACCATTAAGCAAGACAAGGAAAACCAGGAAGGACAGTTTTACTGACACAAATAAGTAAACACAGAAATAAAACCCCGAAAGGGAAATGAGCTTACAGACGAAGAGGCGATAAACAAACTGTACACAAGATGAACAGCCAGAGAAATAAACAAGCAAAAAACAAAATAAATGCCAACAAACAAGGCAGATGCAAAAACACAAGCAGCTGTTAAGGAAGTGAAAAAGAAATTGAGCAAATGTTACATGCAAGTGGAAGAAAATCCCACTGCATGGAATTTCAGGGCTATATCCCCAAAATGCCCTGATTTCTGTGAATTCCATTGGAGAATTTTAGTTATGCAGACATTATAGGTGGACACCGATTGGTGGAGGCTTTGGGTTTTCATTTGTTTCCATTCTTCCATTTATTTTCTTAAAAGAGCAAAGGCTTTTTTTCCCTGAGGTATGTGGGTATATTCACTGCTGTGTATGTTGCAGATTCCCATAAAGTCGAGCATTAGTGATGCTGCCCACAAGCCATGCCTTAGGGGCCTGTATTTACAAAGTCTATACAGTGAATGATTCAACTTTTGGTGGAAAAACTGGTGTTCAGAGACTGGTGGAAATACCATCTATCGAATACAGAATATATTTATCTAATAAATTAATTTTAAAGCATCCTCACTTAGTTTTGGTTTTCCCCTCTTTAGCTATTCCCTGTTATTGAAGTTTCAGTGCTGGATGAAGACTTTAGTTCCTGGACCTTACCTCTTCTCTTATAATGGGGGTTATTGAAAGAAAAAAGTCATATTTTAAATCAATGTATGTGTTTTTTCTAAACCAAAAGCTTTCATGTTACTTTTTTGTTATTAAAATACCTCTTTTTCTTTGAAGTAGAAAAAATTAACAATTAGAGTTTCAAAAATGTAGTTCGGGAGAATTCTGATGCTTCCATTTCCATCCCGTTTTTTTTTATTTTCTCTACACTTATGCAAAAATAGTTATTCGATTGTACTATTTCCTATTTGAAGTTTTGTGCTTTTCTTCATCATCGTGGATGGCATTCATCTCTGTCAGAATGTCTATTCCATTTGCTGAACAATCATGTTACGAAGAGCTGTGGTATCTGTAAATGTTGGGTTAAAACCTCCATTCTCCAGGTAGCAAAGACTGAGATAAAAGCACAGTCAAAACCTGGATTCAAGCTCGTTTTGAATTCCAGTGTTGCTCTGTAAGCCACACTTCTTTTAGGGCAGGAAACAGAAGTGCATAGACAGAATTCACAGAGGATGATTCCTACCAGAAAACAGGTGAGAAGAAAATTATGGATTAATTAATTGTTTTGGAAGAAGACCTGGAAATGCTGAAGTTCTTTGCCCCTGTTATTTTTGATTATGCCGCCCAGAAAAAATTCCACTGATTCCACTGTAATTCTATGAGAAAAGACTGATCAGGATGAGAAAGACTAGTTTAGAAAAGGATGTTCACACAGCAGCTGTTTGGAACCCAGCTTGTTTAGATCATTTCCATCTTGCCTGTATGATGCAAATTTCAGAAACTTTCTTGGCCCTTCTGTCATACATAGATACATTGTACAAAATAAAAAGAAAAAGCTTCTTCAGCAATTTGAGTATTGATCAATCATGAGAGACGTGAGTTCACTGACTTCTGCCAGTGTCTTGTATGGTGTTGGGCAAGACCCCTTGGCATTCATTCCCAATGAGTAAAGTGCCGTTGTCTTACAAAGATGTTGTGAAGAAATACTCTATCAAAACGTGTGGAGCTCCCAGTTACGGCAGAGTCAGGACCACACAAGGAATCTTGTGGACATGAGCCTGTACTGCTTTTTAAAAATTTATGATATAGTGCTGGAAAATTTACATCACAAACTGTGAAATCTCTGTTATTGGAGGCAGATTTTAACCTTTTTTAAGCTTTTCTTTTTCATCTGCAGCACACAAGATTTACGTCTCAGGCTAAATTTATGTGTTCACTAGAAATGTGAACTAACTCATACTGCCATTTATAGTTTGTAAAAATATTTGCACTTTCTGTTATACATGCTAAAGCAGCGTGCATGATCCATCACTTCAAACATTTAAGCTATAAAATAATTGGGAGTCTAGTAACTTCTTAATTAAAATAACCTGGAATTATTCCATTTAATGACTTCATAACTGGCATCTAAACTTCTACTTCCAGTTTTTTGTTGTTATATTAGATCAGAAATGTCTGCAGAAAGCAATCTTGCAAAATTGTCTATATGTATTGATTTTTATAGTACCATTTGAAAAAGTTGAATCCATCTGAATACAGAAATATGGCTACAAAAAAAATTTTATTACAGCAGCCATAAAAGATAGTATCATCCCTTAGGGTTTTTGTTTTTTTTTTTTAAGGATGCTTATAACAAATGAGTGTCTCACAAATACAGAATTAATGTGTTTGGGGCAATTTTTTGTCTGTTGATATATATATGCATTGTGAATGTCTCTCTGGAGCATCCTTCTAGATCAAGAGAGGCAGGGCTGTTATGCGGGGAAATGATGTATAGGAGTGCTGAACCATCTTTACATTAGCAGACTAGTGGGTGAGGCTGCCCATCTATCTAAGTGACAGAAATAAATTATATAAAGCACTGACTCAGTTGAATTTGGTGTGTCATTGAACAAGGGGATCGCTTGGGCCTGAAAAACCTGACACTGGCATGTCACTTACCAGTTTCCCAGCTTTTTGCCTTTGGGATTGTGTTTATGCTTTGCCTAACATAATAATAGAGGAAAAAAAATAATTAATTTGGGTTCTTGAAACACATGCTTTGTATTGTGGGAGCCCAGTGTAATATAAGCTGAACTTGTAAGTCGATATTCAAGTTTCAGCGATTGCTAAGGCAGGCGTTGCATTCTATTCAGAAAGATAGTTACAGTTTTTTAGCTACTTGCTGGTGTTTTGTTTTGCTTTGCTTTTTAAGAAAGACTTCTTGGAAGCATAGCAGTTCCATGAAAATTTTGCTGGAAATATTTATGTTGCAGTTTCAGGGTGCAATTTTAGAGAGAGCTAGTAGAACAGTTTTGCAATCCTCAATATGAAACTCTCAATATAAAAGTCTAAGGTTAAGATCCACGAGGAAAAGTGAAAGACTCAGAAAAGTCTAGAAAAGAGGAGCCATAATAACAGTTCTCAAATACATGAAAAAATTCGGCCAAAAATGAGGAAATAAGGTGTGCTCTTGAGATTTTCCTGGGAAAATCTTGCAGTGGTTGAACAAAATAGTCACCATTATCATCTTAAGACCTGTGGAAAACCATTCATAATCCTCACTCTAGGCTTTACCTGTGACTAAAATAGCATCAGTAGCACAAAGATGCCTCTGGAGCTGTTATATTAGTGTTTTCCTTAAAACAGAAGCTTTGATGTGAATACCCATTGGAAGTAACTTCTCAGGATAATTTTTGGTGTGGACACTTGTGTAGGATTTTGATGATGTCTCTGCTGATATACATACTTTAGACAACCTTTGCTGCAAAATTTCACCATTGCTAGAAATTCAGTAGCTCCAGAATTGTCTCCTATAAAAAGGCTTCCTGAAAATTTTCTCCATGTCTTTCAACCTGTGTTCAGTACATTAGATGTTGTAAAAGTGACCAGTTGAAAAAATGAATGATGAAACAGGAAATCTGAGTAAGATTATAGACTCACTGAAAAGCTGAATTTTTATCTAGAAAATTCCACTAGTCTTTTGCAAGCAGAAACTGGGCCCCAGGGCACCAAAATTTTGGTTATAAATCCATTCAGATAGAGATTATTTTTTTTTTTAATTGTATTCTGAGAGATAAACTTCTCCCATCTAAAACCATTAGAAAGATTACCACAAACCATTGATTCCAGCCCACAAGAGGATTTTATGATGCAAAAGAAGGAGATTTTTCAACAAATTTTTGGCAAAGCCTCTTCAGCTGTCCTATCTGCCTGCATTGCTTGCAGTTGGGAAAGAACTGTGTTCCTCCAGAACCCTGGATGAAACAATATCTCAGGGGAAGGAGATGGTTAAAGAAATGGGAAGCAATGTTTATGTTTTGTCTTTAAGATAAGGCACTAAGATGCACTATACATAAATCATCAAACTTACTGGAATACACTTTGTATTAGGTAAAATAATTGATTTTTTTTTTTTAATTTTAAAATGTAAGAAAACTATGATGGAGAGACTGCATTAGAGTCAGTGAGGAAATGGCATGATATTTTAAAATGCTAACAAGTTTATGTCTGAATCAACATCTTTGTACAAAACTTCAGGAAAAATAAAGATGCTTTCAATTTAAGAGCACACTCTGTATTCAGTAAAATTGTAGATTATTCATACGTATTATAGAACCCAAGTCATTAATATTAAATAACTAAAAATGTTTGAAGGACTTCTTGAAATTTAAATAGTACAGAACAAATTCTACAGTTAAATTCATATCTGTAATTCCCATGATCCATAATTCTTCACACTTGAGAGCAATTTCAGCAGTTTCAAACACATCCAGGTGATGTGTGTTGAATAAT